GACTGGACTCGACTATCTGGGTGTGTAAGTTGCCACTGTTGCTGACGGCGTTGCTTCTGGATAGCGACTTCATCTACCACACTCGCACGATATCGATTGGATTCCTCAGCAATTTTGGTCCACATCAACTTCGGCATGAAGTAGTAAAACATGGCAAGAGGTGACTCCGCATACGTTCGCGCAGACTCCGTTGGACCCCACCGGCCATTGTACAGATCCGATGCACTATCTACTTGCAGGTCTCCACTGTGGTCTTGATCGTATACAACCCACGCAGAAGAAACCGCCTTCAATTCCGCGTCACGGAGAAAATCAGGATTGGCATTGGCATTTTCTCGAGGGGACCAGTCATCATCAGCAACATCCTCGAAGAATTCGGCGTCATCTAATCCGTCATCGTTGTCGCTCAGAGCATCCTCGGCGGCATTACTTGCCAAGCCCACTTCCGTGTCCATTACTTCGTGAATATAATCTTCCGTATCAATCTCATCAGACTTGTCGCTCTCCGAGTCCGAGTCACAGAGATTGGAATCGTCTGCATCCGCATTTTGAGACCATTCACACTTGGACAAATCGAAAATGAATCCATTCGAATCGTGCATGTTGAACTCTGCAACGTCTTCAAGCTCGGGCTCCTCACCTTTTTCCTCTTCCTCTACTGCAGCATGACCTTCTGCTGTATCAAGATGCAGAGGCAGCGTCATTGTGTTTTCTTCTGCTGTATCAGACAGGATAACACTCGAAGCTTGTGCTGTAGAAGCCAGAGTAACAGGACGCACAGTCAGAGCTTGTACAGTAGCATCCCGAGTAGCCACACTCGCAGTCCGAACTTGTGCTGTAGCCGGTCGAGCAGCTGCGGTCGAGGGCCGAGCTTGTGCTGTATTAGCCGAAGTAACTGGACTCGAAGCCCGAGCTTGAATTGTACTGGCTACAGTGATTGCCGTCGCAGTAGAGGTCGTCGTAGCTGGCACGTTCTCTTTAGCAGGCGGGGTAGTCGTTGGTGCTGTCTCCCTTTCGACGCGATCAGCTGCGGCAGAGGTGGGCCTATCATCGCACGCTCCGCTGTCTGCAGGCGGTGCTGTCAATGCTGTCGACGAAGGGGACGGAGGAATAGTTCCAGCGATAACACTATACTCTAACCAGCCACGCTGTCGAGCAAACGCCAGTAGCGCTTTCTCGCCTGAGGGGACAAATCGGTTAGTAAAGTTGTTGTAATCGATGCAAACTAGTGGTGCGAGCTGTACCGGTGAAGTAGTCGACGCCATCCTTTCCTTTCACGCTTCTTCCCGGGCGGACGTAGCGGTGGTCACTACTTAGGCCGGTGGGGGGCTTCGGTGTCCACCCTTGCTTGCAAAGCTCTCGCCAGAGCTGCTTGAACGTTTTTTCCATGCTGTTCGAGTTGGGCGGAGCGGGGCGGAGGGAGACCGAGATTTCAAGTGTAGTGGGGAGGGAGTGGGATAGCGCGATCGACACAAACCTCTATCCACCCGATAGCATCCGTAGACGGGCTCCTCTAACCCCAGATCAGTAACGACGTGCGAGAAACCAGTCACCGTTAGGATTTGCAACCGACCAATACAAATTCCAGTATGCGAAAAAGTTTGATGTTTCATTGTTCGCTGCATATTAAAACCTCTTATAATACTTATGCTGTATTATACAGCATACAGGACTAGAAGGGTTAAGCTGCATATTACGATCGTTGAAGGCGATAATTGGTCGATCAGCCTAGAGCTGGTATATTTATATGTAATTCGACTAGAATGCCCAATAAATCGACCGCATTTGTCATTTTTTAGCTTCCTACCGCCGGAGGTGGAGATGCCCTTTTTATTTAATAGTCTTTTTATTTAATAGTCTATCGAAATTGGGTCCTATTAATACCTGATTTAGCTGGGTACAAAGCAACTACATGTAGTGATATCTGTCCCTATCGGTCAACACAGATGACTCCTTATATCTATTTAGTGAAGGTAGCTCCATAACATATAATAAAAATTGAAAAGACCTTAGTATGACACAAATCTAAGGGAAGGATGAAGACTGCTCTGATATAGCAGAGCAGAGAATTTTTAGTAGAAATACTACCTAATATATTCTTCATAGGCAGAATTAGAGCCCTCTTTTCACAGACCCCAGACGTGGTGGCCATGAAACCTGTCAAGGAAAAATTATCCCTGCAGACCTGGGTGGAAAAACCAATCGTGACCGGTTGATTGCAGACTGTAGCGGGGTGTAGCTACAACTATTTGAATACACGCTGCCTCAATAGCGTCTGAATGTTCAATCAAAACTTAGTACCGCCAATATGTAGACGTACCTTCTTTTCGTATGCAAGATCAAACGGGTGTCTCGACCTAATATTGAGCGCTCTACGCAAAATTTCCGTGCGCGGTTGAACGCGAATGCAACATCCCAAATCTGCAATAGACTTGATATCTTAAGCACGATCTGGGCACGTTTGTAATTAACAAGAAATTTGTAAGCAAGTGACCCACTGAACACTGTAATAGTAGTAGTAGAGCCAAAACGGCAAATTTGGTCGAAATTTACAATACCGGAAAACAAAACTAGCCATACTCCATTTCATGTAAGAATGGGATTATTATGGCATATCATAGCCCAATATTTTTTAAACTTGCCTTCTGAAAATAATGGTTATTTTTCAGAAAGCGTACTTAAGAAAGTGCTATTCGTGAAAACGTGACCATGAATAGTGATTTGTGAGGGAACGTATGTTTTTAGTTGAATGAGCGAATTGAGGACAACAATATATTGATAGGGTATTGGCATGTAAATTAGCCTTTCATTTCTGCAGAAGTAGAATGATTTACTTATATTGCGGGTTACTGTTGAGATCGGTTTGCGGCCACGACAAAAACTCAAACCAGCACTGTATGTACAGCAGATTATTCGACTAGCATGGTTTCGTAGTAGTTTGTCGGCGACGATCGAAGCGTAGTACGGATACTACGCTTCGATCATCGCGGGCAAGGCCACGATAAATATGTACATTCTAAGCTCCTTCTTGGTGGACCCACTCCAGACTACGCGACCATTGCAGGCCTCCGCTACGCTGCGCATAGACACAGAGGTATACCATAAAGGCGGACCCAGAAAAGGTATTTTACCCCCCAACCTTGATGGCTAGTGAGCCGCCGGTCATGCGTGCCTCTAAAATCACTCTGTACAAACTGTGTGGTACAGTGGATTGTGCTTGTATCACCTCATCAACACATCACCGCCAGACTGACTACGGTATTATGTACTGTACCACGTTTCTACAGACCATCCTCATTGTAGTGATGCTGGTCTTTTACTGTAGTGATACCTGTGTCCCACCGGGAAGCCACTTTTCAACACTAGGCAGGTTTCGAAATCGGCTCTATTAGCTCTACTCCACCCTCAGACCAGAACATTTAGGCAGATTGCTTTATCAAAAGTTTGGGAAAGTCTGCTGGACGCCGCCCGTAAGTGTCATATGCAATCTCTAAATTTAGCTCAAAATATAGTGCACAGGAGCAAAATATCTATGATTTCTGATCTATGTCAAAGATTATGCTGCCAAGATATCTGTGTGCACAACTGACCCTGATAATGCAAAAAATCCAAACTAATTTTTTCAGGCCAGGAGTTAATCATTTTTATTTATAAATGTAAATATTTTTTTGAGTGATAGGCTATCTTCAGAGCAGGAGCTCGCAATTTTTGTCTTGCTTGTACACTGAGAGCTCGAAAACTTCTTGCAGTTGATAATTAGGTTCATGCTTAGTAGTCTATTTACCGTCACTACCATCTACTCAATTTCCGGACGAACTCCCCACTCAGAATTTCGGCTTTTGCAATGTAGCCACTCAGGATTCCGCCAAGCTCGCTCGAATTTGTTTTCTTAGTGCAATGTAAAGCAGTATCTTCATTATCTTCGCCATTGATGCCCCTTCTTCTTCTTACTTCCTTTGATGATTCACGTATCGTAGCGCCAGTAGTGAGAGTAAACGAAGTACGGCGATCCAAATTATCAAAATGCCGACATTGCTCCAGATGTCGCTGTGTTTAATGAGGAAATTCGTTTCCAAATACTCTTTCAGCGTCATTCCGTCGGGCAAACCTGGAGGCGTACCTGTCATCTGCTGGCAGCCTCGTTGATTGCCGTCTCCATCACTAGGACAGTCGCCGAACACGATGGCTGCGAGACTGGAGAAAGCGTACTTGTTTGGGATGACATAGTGTAGCCACTTGTAGCCACGTGGAATCGATACAGCCGGAGGGTTACAGCCCGCGAATAGAGTGCAGATAATGTTGACAATTATCATAAAAACGGATGCCACTTCCAGACTTGGTAGAAGGAAAGCCAGGA